ATATGTCCACAGCTTTATTTAGCAAATAATAATAATAACAATAATAATCATAATAATAACTTAACAAGTAAACATGGGTCATTGCCCCCCATACTCCGCCCTCGCATCCTATTCCTTCCATTAACATATAAAGGGCAATGACCCCCATATAAATAAACATATATATATAACATACATCAACATTATTCCAATCGATGTAAAGTGCCAACCATCCATTAACCACGGCAGGGGTATACCCGGATACCCCTACCCCACCAGGTTCTGAGCCACCGACAGGACTCGAAACCTATCAACCACCAATGACCACCACTTGTTTGTCTTCCATTACGTTCATCCTGGGGAGCCTATTTCCTCTCCTTCAGCTCCCCGTCCCGCCATAAGCTCAGACCTTGACCCCTTAAGCCGTCTGAGCTCCGCCACCCCGAAGAAACAGCGCCCGCTGCATACCAACCTGCCAACCCAAGTTGAGCAGATCCCAACCCACCTCCGAAAGGTGAACCCCGTCCGAGCGGTAGTACCCCGGCAACCCCTCCTCCAACTCGCTGTGCCGTACCACCACACCTCCCATCTTCCTAACGAAGCTCGCCATTAAGCTGTTCACCTTTTTCCTGCAGTGATCAATCGCCACCGGATCCCGCGCGTGCCGCCATCGACACCTTGGGACAATCTCCGACCACACTAACATAACCCCCGGAAGCAGGTCCCTCAATTTGTTGATGTCCTGCTTCATCCACTTTACCAACCGACGTTGTGGCGTGAGGCCCAAGTCGTTACCCCCAGCATGAAGGACCACCATGTCCGGTGTCCTCCCGCCCACCACCATCCTAAACATTGCCCCACAAACCTCCCCCCAGCAAAATCCCCTGTACCCAAACCATCGGACTGTCAACTGGTCCTTCGGAAAGCCCAGCTGCTGGCCCTGCATTCGAGCTGCGGCCCTCCTCTCGGCCCAGAAGACAAAAGAATGTCCCACAATCCAAGCAACCCGTCCTGGGGAGAAGAAGAAAACAAGCCTGAGGGAAAGGCAAAAGAGGACTCCTCCGTCCATGTCCGCCCCCGCACCATATCTATACATACACATATATAAACATATACCTGCCTTTTCCCTTTTTTTTTTTATTCCAATAAGCCCAACCGCACATATGAGCGGAACCGCACCGACTCCCATCTCCCTATGCGCTTCACGACCTCATCTCCTAATCCCAACCGTGCGGCCTCCGTGGCCGCCCCAATGCGAAAGGAGTGAGTACCAAAACGTCCGGCCGGAAGCCCCAACTTACCTAGCCCGGCCCGAAAAAACCTTTGTAAACTGAAACCGGGACAGGGAAGAACCATCCGCATGTACCAAGAAGGAACCCCCCACCGCCGGCCTCCGAGCCATGTACTCCGCCACTGCAGCCACCGGGCACAATGCTGCGCCCGGCAGAGCCCATAGCGTAACGTCCCTACCCACGCCACGGACGTCCGCCTTAGAACTACCCAGATGCACAACCACCTTACCCTCCAAAACACGAACCCCTGAGGCCTGCAGACCCCCGGGCACCACCCTACTGGCACTCACCAGCTCCCCCACGCGGAACGCCCCGAAAAATGCCAAGAGAAAAGCCGCTCTGAACAGAGAGACCTCAAACCCGTTGAAACAAATTTCCGGCAACCGACCCACCAGATCCCCCAATACCCGTACCGACACCGGGCGCCTAGAGTCACAGGTCCTGCGGCCCTTTCGATAACCCTTCAGCGCCTGCCGTACTAGGAAGGTCTTAGTCAGATCCTCCGACCCGCGCCATCGGAACCAGAACGCCATTGCCGCCATGGACCTGTCGACCACTGCCGGGGACGCCCCCTTTGCCAGCAATTGGCAGGTGTACCATAGAAAAGCGTCCCGCAGCGCATCCCCACGTAAGCCATGCTCCAACCCGTCTAATGATCGTTCCCAAGAGTCCCAGACCTTACTGTAGGAGGCCCATGTGGCCGGTGCCAGTGAAGCCTTCACAAGTCCCCCAAGCAGGACGCTCCCAGCTGCCATATCTCGTCCGGGCAAGCCTCCCCTTCCTTCAATGCTCCTGGCGCCATCGACCAAAATCGGGACCACTGAAAACGAGACAGAGCGTCAGCCACCTCATTCAGGTACCCAGGGACATGACGCGCGCGAAACACAACATTCCGTGACATACACATCAACACAAAGCGCCGCAGCAACCTAACCACCGGCTTAGAGGCAGCCGATTGATTATTCACCGCATGCACCACCGCCATGTTGTCCGAGAAAAAGACCACTTTCTGTCCCGGAGCCCCTCGCCCCATAGTGCCATTGCAACGACCAACGGGAATAATTCCAGAAAAGCCAGGTTGCGCATGACTGGGCTGGACCCCCATGCCTCCGGCCACCGCTCCGCGCACCATCTCCCGCCAAAGTAGGCCCCGAAGCCCACACTACCCGAAGCATCCGTGAAGAGCTCCAGCTCCGCCGCCGACTTACCCGCCCGCCGGAAAAACACCGTCCCATTGAAATCCTGCAGGAAGGCATCCCACACGCCCAAATCAGCCCTCATGGTTGCTGACACCCGTATGAAATGATGTGGGGATCGAACTCCTGCCGTAGCAGCCGCCAGGCTGCGGCTGAAAACCCTCCCCATAGGAATTACACGGCATGCAAAGTTCAGCATCCCTATTAGCGACTGCAGTTGCCGCAGCGTAACTTTGCGCTCAACGGTCACCGCAGCTACCGCCCCCTTGAGCCCCTCCAACTTGTCCCGAGGCAGTCGGCATTCACCCAAGATAGAATCTATTTCTAACCCCAAGAAACTAAGGCACGTCGTCGGGCCCTCCGTCTTATCCGCTGCCAGCGGCACCCCAAAGTGGCCCGCCACCCATTCCACGGTCCTAAGCAGTTGCTGGCATGCCGAGGAGGCAGCCGGCCCCACGCAAAAGAAATCGCCCAGGTAGTGCACCACCGAACGGTTCCCCGCCTCGACCCGCACCACCCATTCGAGAAAAGTACTAAATTTCTCGAAATAGGAGCATGAAATAGAACAGCCCATAGGGAGGCACAAGTCCACGAAATATTTTCCCTCGAAAAAACATCCCAACAGGTGGTGGCAGTCCGGGTGGACTGGCAGCAGCCGAAACGCCGCCTCAATATCCACTTTTGCCATAAGTGCCCCATGCCCGGCCCGTTTAACCAGCTCGACCGCCCGGTCGAATGATGCATACGAGACCGAGCATAGGTCCTTATCAATACCGTCATTCACCGACTCCCCTTTTGGGTAGGAGAGGTGGTGAATGAGCCGGAATTTCCCCGGCTCCTTCTTTGGCACCACCCCAAGAGGGGAAACCCGTAGGTCCTCCAATGGGGGCACCGCAAACGGGCCCGCCATCCGCCCCAGCGCAACCTCCTTGTCTAGTTTCTCCCGTACCACCCCCGGGAAATCCGCCACCGACTTCAGGTTGCGCAACCCCCCCGAACCCCCCCGCTCCCGGAAGGGAATAAAGAAACCCCGCCCGAAGCCTTCCCTAAGTACCGAGGCATCAGTCCTGTTACCGTAGCGGCTTAGCCACGGCTCCATCGCGTCTAGCCTCACCGGCGTGAAGCCCCGGGGCAGGGGAAGCATTCCCTCCGGCCCCGGCAGCCGCTCCGGCTGTTCCCGCCTTCCCTTTTTTGAAACAGCGATTGAGCCCATGAGCACCCCCGCAACCGGAGCACTCATGCTTAAATCGACACGCGTTTCCCCATTTGCACTGGCCCTCATTGTAGAGCCAGCAGAAGCCCTTTTGCAAAGCGGTCGACGAGGCGGACTGCCCCTTCGCGCCGGCCGAGTTTGGAAAGGGCTGCGCCTTCTGGGCCATCATTAGCTTCATCCAGAGGGGCAGATCCATCTGATCCCACCTCATCCCCGGGTTAGCCGCCAGTCGCTGCCTGAACTGTTCATCGTAGCGCCACCATGCCAGCCCCCCATAGGTGCGATATGCTTCCCAAATGCCGTCCAGGTAGCAGAACAGGGACGAGCATAATCCCGGCGATTTTTCCCCGAGCACGCTGGCTAGCACGCAAAACGCCCGTAACCAGTTGCCAAAGGATTTCGGAATCTTGCGATACCGCTTTCTCTTCTCCTCCTCCTCCTTCTTTTCATCCTTTTTATCCTCCTCCTTGAGGTCAATAAAGTCCTCCAAGGGGAGCAGGGAGAAGATCTCGCAGAACTCACCTTTCCAGAGCTTCTCTTTCACGTCCTGTTTCAGATGAACCCCCAGGGGGCCCGCAAACGAGACGTATGCGTGCTGCCTGGCTGCATCCGGAATACCCCCGGCCAGTTCCGCCTTGTCAGCCCCGGCCGCCATCGCCTCGGGCGCCACCCCCACGTCCCCGCCCGAACTAAGCCCCACGGAAACCCCACTAGGACCAGGGACCTCCGTCCCCGGGGCCCAAACCCGACCAGCGCCACCCCCCGTGTCACCCCCCGCCCCCAGCGAGTGGAGCAGTGCTTGCAGTGTGCTAACTAAGGAACTGGAGTGTAGTGACCCACAAGACTCACCGGCCAAGCCCCCTGCAACTGACGCGGCAGGTGCTGCGTCGTCGACTGCCCGATGTCCAGGGAGAGCGACTCCCGCCGATACCTCGCCAACCGGGGAGCCAAACCGGTGCCTTGCCCGTGTCGATATGGAACAGCTCCGTGACCTGGAAAGAGGAGAAGAAGTCCTGGGTAGGGTGCACTGAGTATTCGCTTCCCCCCCGTCCCGACCCTGGGAGCGCCTGCCCATTGCCAAGTCCTCCCGCTGCGCCCCCCCCCTAGGGCTATGGCTCCTCCTGTCCCCTCCGGGCATACGTCCCCGCCGACCACCCCTG